CTTACGCAGTCTCGTCGAATGAAACATGAGATGTGGAGAAGAGTGAATTATCAATGAATGAGGTGTGTGAGCTGTGAGTTCTGGTAGGAACAGCATAAAGAGTCCTCATATACTGCTTTAATCTAGTGATATATGTCGCAACAGGAGCTGCTGATGGAGAGAAAAACTCACCCGGCAAACGTAAAGACATACCGTAAAACAACTCGGCAGCTGTACATTGTAGGTCACCTTTGAGTGCAGTACGTAGTCCCAACAGTACTAGTGGTAAAGACTCAGTCCAGGATGTACCAGCATGGGTTTTGAGAGCTGCTTTGAGCTGCCGTTGGAAACGCTCAACCAAACCATTGGCTTGAGGATGATAGGAAGTAGTTCTACACCAGACAGTGCCCAACATAGCCATCAATTGTGTCCAAAGCGAGGACTCAAACTGGCCTCCTGTATCAGTGGTGATAATTGATAGGACACCAAAGCGAGAGATCCAACCAGACACTAATGCCTGGGCTACTGAAGGGGCAGAGATATCTGGAAGAGGAAATGCCTCTGGCCAACGAGTGAACCTGTCAATGCAGGTGAGGAGATAGCGGTGTCCCTGAGAGAGAGGTAGGTGGCCCACATGTCAACGTGAATATGATCAAAACATGAGCTTGGAGTGGGTAAATGAGAAAGGGGAGAGAGTGTGTGTCGAATGACTTTAGAACGCTGACAGGGAAGACATGATCGGGTCCACTGCTTAATAAGGGAGTGCATCTTTGGCCAAACAAAACGAGCAGAAATAAACTGCTGGGTAGCTCTAATGCCTGCATGAGAGAGGCTATGTAATGTGTCAAAAACTGACCTCCTGAAGGAAGGTGGGACCACTGGGCATGGCGTATCTTGTGACATATCACACATAATAGTATGATTACATTGAGGAAGAGAAAAGGGTTGAAGAATGAGAGAGTGGTGTTGCGATTCCACTGAGAGGAAACTACAATTATCTTGAGCTGCTGCCATTGCTTCCAAGTCAATTGTAGGTGTAGATCCAACCGAGTTGAGCTCTATCTGCAATAAGGCATCTGCTACGGGATTATGGGGACCCTGTATATTATTTGTAAATTGAAATCTAAATCTCTGAGTTGCCGTGGGGAATGTCTTTCAGACTTAGTAGACAATGAAAATATTAGTGGTTTATAATCAGTGTATATGGAGAATACACGTCCCTCTATAAAATGGCGAAAATGCTAAATGGCAAAATATATTGCCAAAAGTTCACAATCATAAGTGCTATACCGCCTCTCATTGGGGGATAGCTTGTGAAAGAAATAGGAAATGGGCTTCTATTGACCATTGACCAATTGCTGCAATACTTCACCAACAGCAATATCAGATGCATCAGTCATTAAAGAGGTAGGAGCATCAGGAATGGGGTGATACAGCTACGTGGCATTAGCCAGGGCATATTTTACAGAATTGAAAGCTAAAGTACATTCCTCTGACCACTGGAACTCAGACTTTGCATGTGTTTTATTGAGTAGTGTGTGCAATGGTTGTAATACCTGGCACAGTGAGGAATGAATCTGTGATAGAAATTGGTCATGCCAATAAATTCCCGTAGCTGGCGCTGAGAAACTAGACCAAGAAAATCCTTAATTACTGACACTTTTGTCTCCTCCGGATGAACTCCTTGAGATTCAATAATGTGGCCCAAAAACTGCAGAGGTAACACCAAATTCACACTTATCCAGATGTAGAAGAACGCCATACTCCCTAAAACGATCAAAAACCAGCCGAAGGTGTTGCTTGTGTTCTGCTTCACTGGAACTTGCAATCAGGACGTCGTCAATGTATGCGTATGCAAACTGCAACACACGTAATACTTCATCAATGAA